TTTTTCAATTTCTTTGAGCATGACACTATGGCCACCAGGAAAGAGCAGGCCTCTTCTTTTTACGACGATGATATGTGGTTTGGTAACTTGAAGTACGGGGTTTGTTTAGATATTAAAACACAAGATCGTGATCAAGTTGTTTTCGATTATTATTATTATTATTATTATTATTATTATACAACATACATATTTTACATAGATAAAGCCCTTCGTAAGGTGTGGGCTGTACTCGTGAGAACATTTTTTTTGTATTACTTTAAGGCATGGGATTCCAGGAATCCCTTCAATGAGTATACTGGAATCTTTTCCAACCAATCCTAGGGCTCCAACTACAACGAGGATTGTTGATGTTCCCATGTGCCACAGTTTTGAGATTTCGATTTCAAGGTCCTTGTATTTTGATAGCTTTTTGAAGGTTTTCAAAGATACATTACAGCCTGCAGGGACTGCCATATCAATAAGGAGACATTTTTTTGTTTGTTTGTGGTCTCTAATAACTATGTCTGGATTCAATTGTCCTGTCTCTGTGTATTGTGTAGTCCCATAAAATTGTTACAGGTCCTTTTTCTGTAACCTGGTCTAGGTGGTGTTCATTATTATTATTATTATTATTATTATTATTATTATTAATACTTCGTTTTTGTAATATGTTTTTTGATACAATCCTTTTCAAATTTTTACCCGAGATATGAGGTAAACAAATATTTTCCGAGAAAGCTGTTGAGTATATTACAATGAGAATCTTTCTAATATATGGACGCTGTCCTTAACTGTAATCTTTTGTATCTCATATATATATATATATATATTTCCAGGGATTATATTAATATTATTTTAATTATTCCCAGTACTCCTATTATTACTGAAATAATAGTCATATATAAATCCTTCATTCTTCATATTTCTATTTCCAGGTTTTATATTTTGAAAGTGTGTCAAAATATGTGTTGCCATTTTGATTAGTCGAGATCGCTATTTTTTAGATCGAGCTGCTGAACAGCAAAATGTCACTTGTTCAAAAACATATGAAGCCCAATATACCTATCATGGCATTTACTGTAACAAAGTCTGATTTTTATTTGCTTTTTTTAAAGTTAATGTTTTCGATAGACCGGAAGAGCAGTTGATATATTCTAATTTGCAGCATGCCGCGTAACATTACGTTAGGGAATCTTCCGTTTAAGCTATGTTAAATATGTACTCAAATATCTGTTACACTTTATACTTTATATATATGTCGGAGGATGTATGATAAGGACGGAATTTGATAAATATCTCTGCAGACTTGATTAATATTCATCATTGAATTAGGTGCATTGGAAAGGAAGGAGAATTGCAAAACAGAAACATTCACAATCATCATGTGAGAGAACTGAGGCACATTTGAATTCAATATGGGGAAAAGTTCCTAGCCTTTTCTATTTTTGGAAACTAGAAAACGAATACGCAGAAGAAAGCTGTTAATTTTCAGTAAGAAAGGAAAATTTAGCATGCATCACACACACACACACACACACACACACACACACATATATATATATATATAATTATTTATTTAAAAATATGATTGCAACACGCTACATAAGAATTCTCATGTTTCAAAACAACAGCCGAAAATTTCAATATAATTGTTTGAATTAAATTGAATTAAAGTAAGCTCTGTTCCATCTTCAAACGAAATTTTTTTAGAATAACTTATTTTTGAAATTTACGTGTCTTAATAGCATATTATATATATATATATATATATATATATATATATATATATATATATATATATATATAAAAAACAATAAAAAATAAAAATTAAAATCTTTAGACACACTGGGTTGTAGATTAATATTCTTTCGTTTTTTTTATTATTATTCCATTTAGATTCCTCGACTAGTTTCGACCAAAATGGCCATCATCGGGAGGAGAAATATTTCTGTTTGCTGGTAGCAGTAAACTACAGAAATGAATGTCTTGCTGGAGAAAATGAACTATTGACTGTAGTTTTCATTTGTTTTTTTTTAATTTTTTATCTTTTTAACATGAATCTTTTAACATTCCTTGTGTTGGTCAAACAGTCACTTTTAAGTTGTTATTTGAGATAAGAGCTGGATAGATCCATGTTGCTCTGAATTCTCTGGTCAGTTTGACAGTTTTATTGGACCTGATGAGGGGATGTGTCTCTGTTTAGTGTTTGTGTGTGTGTTATTTGGTTCTTAGGGAGTGAGTGAGTATGATATGTGTAAGCGTGTGTATTGCTGTGGGTGTGTGTTATCATTTGGCTCATTAGGGAGTGAGTGAGTATGATGTGTGTAAGTGTGTATATTCGTGTGAGTGAGTGTATAAGTGTGAGGCCTCCACACCTCCGTAAGCATGCCTGTCTTGTGTGGGTGGAAATGTGGGTAGGTTTTGATTTGTTGAGTTATATATTGGTACTATCTATATATTGTTAAATTTATAGTTTAGCCCGGCTGGATATTTTGTTTTTAGACGTTGTATCCACATGGGACTCTAAAATCTTTCTAATGTTATCTGCTCTGAACTTTTCTATTCTCTCAATTATAGTGAATTTGGCATATATATATATATGAAATATAAAAAAGAAGACAAAATGTTGCACGTGGATTTTTCCTAATCTTAAATTTCACATATATACATTTGTGTATTTAGGCAGCAATCCTTATTTCATGCACATTTCATTGAATACGACAAACAAGGTGCTTTTATTTAGTTTTTTATACATTTTCTCATGCGATCTAATAATTTTTTTTTTATTTTCGGATGATAAATTATATAAAATCTGTCCACATGTTCTTTTTATCCGAGCGCAAAAACGTCTAAAAGTAATGGAAGCCTTATTAATAAAAACAAAACAAAAAAAAAACTTAATAATATTAACTTTGAACATGGACACAATATCTTGACCGTGTTCTGAAAAATAAAAACATTTTATAAAACATACATACAACAAAATATTTCTTATTTAACCGTTAAAATATTTAATCCTTGAAAATGGCTAAATGTATAGCCGAAAGCGCTCGGATAAAAAGAACATTTGGACAAAAACTATTAGATCGCATGAGAAATTGTATAAAAAAGCATCTTGTCTATCGTATTCAATGAAATGTGCATATATGTACATACATACACACACATACACACGCACAGTATATATATATATATATATATATATATATATATATATATATATGTGTGTGTGTGTGTGTGTGTGTGTGTGTGTGTGTGTGTGTGTGTGTGTGTATTCAATATCCACCGAGTTCACCTCCTAGGTGCAACAGTCTGTTTCATGCTTAAACGTAATTTTCAGGCCATCACTCAACATTCACATGCATACACATGCAGAGTCGTGTTATATATATATACACACATCGATAGATAGTGACACACAGACAGAAAGACAGAGAGAAAGTAAGTATTCGATAAAGGGACGACAATTTCCACCTATCTCTGATATTGAACACTTTAACTCATAAATATAGCATACTTTAAAACTATCTTCCTTATCACACACACACACACACACACACACACACACATATATGTATGCATGTCTGTATGGTAACATATAGTTTTAAGGTATGTTATATTTATGAGTTAAAGCGCTCAATCTCAGGGATAGAGCGTATGTAAATATAAAAGTGGACATTGTTGTCAACACTCAGAGGTGACAGTCTGTTTCATGCTAAACACAATCGTCAGACCATCGATAGCTTGACGGTATTGTTTAGCATGAAACATATTATCTCCTGGGTGTTGACTTCAATGTTCACTTTATATATATATATATATATATATATATATATGTGTGTGTGTGTGTGTGTGTGTGTGTGTGTGTGTGTGTGTGTGTGTGTGTGTGTGTGTGTGGTATTTCCGGATGAAATCCGGTACCAATAAATAACAAACGCCAAGAATGAATATAGGAAAATAATGTATTAACGTAATAATACAAACTGGTAATGCAGGTTAGTAGTTCCAGGAATACGTGTTAGTAGCAAAATATATATATATATATATATATATATATATATATATATATATATATATATATATATATATATATATATATATATATAGTCTTTTGGTATTGAAGTATCGCTTACTGAGTCCACGTGTTCGCTCACTGTGAATCTTGCTGGCTACGTTCGTTCTGTCTGTCCGTTACATTCACCCTCTGTTGTTCTCGTCTCTCGTAGCAGTAGTATATGTATATACTGGGTGAGTCCATTTGTGTAAAAAGGGGAGAACCCCTCAACAATATATATGAGAGAGAGAGAGAGAGAGAGAGAGAGAATATGATATAAATTCATATATAAATCAGACCAATGCATGGCATATGGAAAAAATATATTCTGTGTTAAGGATTTAATTGGACAATTGTTAAGAACAATTGGAATTATTTATGTTTAGAATGGGGGAGGGCCATATATAAACAGAAGAGTAGGCTATAATTATACACCGACAGAAAAACGCTGAAGATGTTCGAATGCTGAAATTTTAAATATTTCAGGGTTTAAAAAATTCAAAGCGTGAATTTGTATGCCTCATAAGTATTTGCTTGAGAATGGACACACTATTCTACTTTCGTTTCACCAGAAATGTCAACCTTTCATTTCTACAACGCATTGTTACACAGGTATAGAAAAATGAGTTTTGTATGTCAACAGAAAGCGATAAAGGCTGCGGTATTCAGAAAATAAAGAAAACAGTTCAAACACCAAAATCAGGATTCCATCCACAGAAGGTTTGTGTCTGATGGAATATGAAAAGCATTTACGAACAGTTAGAATATGGAAAGACTATTACTACATGTTTATTGTCAGCAATTTAATCGATCTGGTAAATGAAACATCACATCAAAAGTGTTTTGCTTTAGCAAACAGAGAAATTGTGATTTTCAGTAGAACAATGGATAAAAAAAACAAGAAAATAAAGAGAGGTTCTTCCACTTTCTCCATACTCAATGGATTTAACACTTACAGATGTTGCCTTACGCCCACATCACTTTGAAACACTAGTTCTCGTCAAAACATCGAAGTTAAGCAAAATTGAACATGTTTAGTATGTAACGGGTGACCGCTTGGGAACACCAGGTGCTGTAAGTTTGGATGAGAGGTGGGGTGTAATGAAGAATGGTTCGAAACTGGAGATCGGAGACCCGAGTTTGAATTGCAGTCACCTTTGTTATATTCACTTACTTGCGAATATCATGAAAATATCATTTTCTCCTCCCATCTATGGATTAATTAGAAGGATTTGCACCAGTAAATCATTATGTTCTTTAAAAAAATCTTAAAATCTAAAAATATATTTCAGCTTTAAATAATAAAAAAAAAGGTTGGTAAGACGTAAGAAAATCATTCAATCAACGTATAGAATTCTCTCTCTCTCTCTCTCTCTCTATATATATATATATATATATATATATATATATATATATATATATATGAAAATATACTTTTTTAGGTGTGCTATATTAATGGAATAAATTGCTATAGTGATCTATATAAAAGATAAAAGGTATGCAAATATAAAAGTGAACACTGAAAACAATACTAAGATGCGACAGACTGTTTCATGCTAGGCGCATACATCAGGCCATATAGATAGAGAGGGAGAGAGAAGAAGAAGTGTGAGACAAGAAGCGAGAGACAGGCATACAAACATGAATTTGCTTCATATTTTCTACTTATTTTTTTATCTCTAATTGAATTAGAGATAGTATATATACATATATATATATATATATATATATATATATATATATATATATATATATAAACTTTTCTCTCTGTTCCTTTTATCTATCTATCTATCTATCTATCTATCTCATCTATCTATCTATCTATCTCATCCTGTTCATAATCTATCTATGTGTTTATATATATATATATATATATATATATATATATATGAACTGTGTGTTCGTGCGTATGTGAATTTAGAGTGAGAGAGACATGTAAAGATATAGAGATATTTGTGTGTCACTATGCATACATATTTAATGGTACATTTCCAATAGATTTGTATTTAAAAGAGCAAGACATATTATACTGTCTGCGCTTTTACATATATCTATATGTATGTATGTATGTATGCATGCATGTATGTATATGTCTTGAGAGTGTACAAGAGCGAAAGTGTGGTCGAAATTCTGTCAATGAATGCAGGAAGACTTGAGAGATGACTTGTGCATATATTTTCTACATGATCTCATTCAGAAGATGAAAAAAGAGAAAAATATACCAAATCAAATTAGTCATAATAGGATATTTTCGCGCTATTTAAGAAGAAGGAGTTTGGCTCTCGTCCAATGTTAACAATGCCGTATGACATTAATGGCTGTCTAAGACTGAACAAGGTTCTTATTCTGAGGCTAACGCAGCAATTGGAATAACTTTGTTTTCGGTCATCTAACTTTGAACTCTAACTAGCCCCTGCTTTCTTATTTCGTATAAGGCGCATTATTTTATCCTATTTCTAAAACCGCCTTTTTTATTCGTAGGTTGCCCACGCATCTCCCCTCGTCTACGACTCAAAAATCCTTGTCAACTTTTCAGTTTCCTTGTTCGGCTCAATTTCAACTTCGTTCCTCTTAGCGGCTCTTGAAGTTTTATAAATGAGGGGCACTTGATGTAAGCAGACTACAAATTCGACAAGTACACGAATTCTGCCGTGTCGTCATAGGGGAATTTTCGTGGGTGGCCCTCCAGGGCATTACACGCGTTACCTTGCTACTACCCTCACGTATATGTCGCTGCGGACGATCGCCTCAGGCGACTCCCGAAACGTTTTTCTTCAAGACAGCCCAAGGCAAAGCATGTCCCTGCAAGCAAATTAACAGAATCAAACCCTAGAAAACTATTATCACTGTTATAGTTGCGAAATCATCTTGGCCCCTTTACTTGAACTGGTTTTGGTAGGGGGCATTCGATGAATACAATACATGCTCGATTGTCTGATTAAGTAAAGCATACCTGGGTTGAATAACGAGAGAGGTTAGAATAAAAATGAAAAAAAAAAATAAAATAAAATGACCGGTTTTGATAATCAGTTTAGATAGCAAGCTAGCTGGAGAAATATGAGGAGAATTAGATAGAAAGATGAAGGAAAGCGAGAAGGATATTGAGATAGATAATGAAAAACAGATAGTAACATACATGCACAAAGAAAAATCAATCTGCAGGGACTGAGATAGATAGATAGATAGATAGATAGATATAGAATAGAATTAGATAGATAGATAGATAGATAGATAGATAGATATAATGTCATTTAATCGCGATATAGATAAAGACACATATTGATATTGATATCTACTTACAGAATAGGATTTAAATTATATATATATATATATATATATATATATATATATATATATATATATATATATATATATATATATATATATATATATATATATATATGTGTGTGTGTGTGTGTGAACAGGCTAAGAGAGAGATTCATAGACAGATCGCTAGATAGATAAATAGTATAAACACACTGAAATTGGAATATAGGAAGAGCGTGAGATAGATAGATAGATAGATAGATAGATAGATAGATAGATATAGGTAGGATATATATTATAATATACATATATGTATATATATATATATTATAATATATACATATTTATCGATTAAATCACACCATATGTATCTTTCTATATATATATATATATATATATATATATATATATATATTTTTCTCTCTCTCTCTGTATCTATATCTATCTATCTATCTATATATATATATATATATATATATATATATATATATATGGGGTGTATATGTGTCTCTGTGTGTGTATTAAAGAGAGAAAAAAAAAAAAGCCGCAAACGTTTTTAAACATAGTGTGTATTTCTTTATATACTTTATTCTCTATATAAAAAAGGATATAAAAATCACATTATACTTTATAATCAACCGTTTGCGGCTCTTTTCTCTTTTTAAAATATACACTTTTCTCTCGTTGGAACAACAATTACCTCTCCTTTACACACACACACACACACACACACACACACACACACATATATATATATATATATATATATATATATATATATATATATATATATATATATATATATAGAGAGAGAGAGAGAGAGAGAGAGAGAGAGAGAGAGAGAGACAAGTATAGGTTTGGTTTAGACGTAATAAATTCCAATAACCAAAAAATACTATTCTTAAAAGAGTGCCCAATACAGATAGAGCAAATATTATTTATTCAAAAATTATAACATAAATAGTTTATAAAATCACTACAAAAATAGCCATTTTGTTTCAAAACTTCAAGTGATGGTGTTGAATGTAGAATAAAGAGTTTTAAAAAGGTTCAAATCAATCAAACACTCCTTGCTAGGGGAAAATCTGTTACATAATCTGCAATGACCAATCAAAATACTAGTATATGAAAATTAAAAAAAAAAAACTTGACTACGAATCTTTGTTATAATAATTAATACCTTAAGACTAAGATTAGACTAAAATAGAAATCATTCTGATTAATATGAAATTTTACTATAAAATTGAAAAGTAAAAATTACCTATTTTAATTTAAACCTGTATTAAGTTTTACAAGTTTGAAAATTTTATAAGATTATTTAAAGAAGGATCTGAAGAAAAAATACATATATTTTATTATTTATTTTATTTTAATCGAAAAGCCAAAATCTCAGAGCAAAAGCTGATCTAAGGAGATACAAATATTGTAACAACTTAGATACTTTTGAAGTAATGATATTGACAGGGAAAGAAATTTTGCAAATGACAATGCATACACAATCATATTATAATATACAAACTAAACACATATACATATTTAGATATATAAACACGTAAAAACACAGACGAAACAGGAAATAGCTGTCCACGACCAAAAAAAAAGGAACAAAATATCGGACACATATACATACAATGAAAGACATATATAAGCAATCAAACGCACATACATTAATATAGACATAGACGTATACATAGACAAACCCACAAAGATTCAAGACTGAAAGTATTAATAGGTGAATGCAGAATATTAAAATATTACTTACATGGGCTTAGATTTATAGATAAAAAGAAGTGTTAATAGATAAAAGTTAAGAGTGGTAGAATAGGATAACAAATATTCGACAATGAACAAATCAAAGAAAAAAGACCATTAAATATATATAAAAGGACAAACAAAATATATACGCATACACCCCCCCAAAAAAAAACAAACAAAACAAAACAAAAAAAAACCGCACATGAAACATGCACTGGTACAAACATATAAAATATATATAAATAAATGCACACATATGTGCATACATGCACCCATACAGATACATACACAAATACACACACACACACACACACACACACACACACACACACACATATATATATATATATATATATATATATATAAAATTAAAATAAAAAGAAAGAACAGTAGGATTTATAATCCGGTGTTCTTATTAATTATTTTATTTAAAAAAAAACAAAAAAAAATTCTGCAGAGTATAAATATTAAAAGTTTACTCATTTAAAAATATCGTTCCATTGCTACACAGGAATTACCATGTTTCAAAAACAGAAGCTAAAACATTCAAATTTAATTATAGAATTAAAGTAAAATCCCTAGTACTGTTTCATTTTCAAGCGAATTTTGGAATAACTTATTTTGAAATTTACTGAGTTTTATAAGCACATACATTCTTAATATTATGTACGTGTATTTGAAAAATGTTAATTCCTGTGTAGCGATGGAACCATATTTTTAAACTAGTAAATATATATATATATATATATATATATATATATATATATACACATAGAAATAAATACAAACATATCAACCTACACAGCTACATATAAAAATGTACAAAAATAAACCAACACTCCGACATACATGAGCAGATACAAATATCTAAGTATATACACCCATATAAAAATAAGTAGAAACAAAGAAACTTACTGGAAAAATACTAACAATATTATCAAAATAACTATAATTCAGTCCACAGGCAATATTAAAATTACAGTAAAAAAAACAAAAGTAGATTATAGTTAGCATAGATAATCGATTTAAAAACCTAAAATATACGCGCGAGCACAC